TCGATTTTGCGGTTTTTTTGCAGATTAAGGATGTGTGAAAGTGAACTGAATACGTGTGCGAGGAGTTTGAGGGAGTGCTTGACTGGAAAATTGTGGCATCGTGGCACTGTGGTGAGGTGTTAACTTGCTGCAAAATGACCGTTTTATTACTATTATTTGTTGTTGCTAACTTGCTTCGAAATTTCACTTGTACGAACTAATGTTATACTCAAATCTAAAAAATACCTTATGATAGAAATTGTTGGCAATTTGGATGACCAAACATGAATGCAAGCCTAATTCCGAAACGGTCTCTCTATATGATTTTAGTTGAATTGACATATAATATTTTATCTACATCATTTTTTTATTTTTTTAATAAGCGTCTAACTACTAAATTATAAATGTTTCTTTATTAAGCACTTCAAACAAATATATGTAATATATGAAATAAATGCTAGAGGACAACTTCATATGAGAAAGATTTGTCCTAAAGCAAAGTTAAAGAATAAACATCGTCTTTGAACGAGTCGTCGGTACATCTTGTATACTTTTAGAATACCAATTAAGGGGTATGAAACAGATTTATGAACCCGACAATTATCATGAACATGGAAACAAATTTATACAATCAATGAATCAAATTAACACTATAATTATAAAATACAAGGACATTAAATACATATATACTATTATGTTTCATTTTGGCCCTTGAAAAGAATTAGAAAACCTGGTTGAAAAACTTGGAGGCAAATATTCTTCATCTTCACTTTGTGCTCCACTATTGAAATTTAGAGCATAACTATGTACATCATATTGAAACCTATTATTCTTTTGTTGCTTCTTTTCATATTCACAAATTTTTCAAATAAATGTTTTCCACTTTGGACTAGCAATCACTTCTGATGTCTCCTTCATCTTCTTCAACTTCTCCATCATCCATGTAAGACAAAAAGGTATTGGAAGGAAGAGTTATACAGTCTTAATTCCAACTCATGGAGAAAGATTGATGCTCAAGATATCCCTCTTCCAATTGAAATTTCGAGTTCTTCTTCTCAGGTTTATATTGGTATAGAGGAATAGAGAAATATTTTGATGTTTGGATGATGAAGGAATATTGGGATGCTCAAGATTATTGTATTTTTATTTCTGTTTTGGATATGTGGATGGTGTAGATTTAACACATCATTATTATGTAAAATTTTCATTTTATCAACTTTGATTTTTAATGGGTTTTTATTGTTTTATATATTTGTCCTGATTTTAATTTCAGTAATTACAAGAATTACCGAAGGCTTTGCCCTGGTAACTTTACCAGACGTCTTATTCGTGGGTAGAGTAATGCTATGATTATCAGTGATTTTTTAACGGCTTGGCCGATGATAATACAATGGACTTCAAAAGCCATCGGTAAATTTTACCAAGGAGGTTTTTACTGAGAGCTCTATGACTGTCGGTAAGTCCTGGATAATATACCTTTATTCACGTTTTTTTTTAATTACAGAGGATTTTTGTCTCTGGGTAATGACAATTTTTCTTGTAGTTGATGATGTTGTGAATTAAATGATATTTGTTGGTGATTGTTGATTTGATGATATAATGAAGCGCTGAATGAATTAATGATGTGAAAATGTGAGTATAATATGTAATGTATGATGATATATGGATTTCCAAATAATTGTTGTTATAACTACTATATCTATTCCTCATATTTTTTTTAATGATTTGTGATTACTCATCATTTTTGTTTGAATGTTGTCTCCACGTGGGTAACACACAGTGGCGGAGTCAGAAAAGTTATAAAGCCTGGACAAAAAAATATAAAGACCGGAAATTAAGCCTGGGAAAAAAATTTAAAGGCCGAAAATTAAACCCGGACAAATAATTTAAAGACTAAAATTCACATTGCATATAACAAAAAAAAACTTTTGTTTTTTTCCTTTTTTTCTTTCAATTTTTGGCCTTTTCTTTTGTTTTTTTTTATTTAAAAAAATTGGATCCTGGACAGTTGCCTAGGGTGGCCGTAAGGTGAAACTGCCTATGGTAACACACAGGTGTTCACGAATAGCTTGTAGAATCATGAGGATAGTTTTGGAGTTATTGTGTGTTTTCTGTTGAATAAAATGGGTCTTACTATGATACATAACATCAGGATTTTGGAAATGCTTGAGTTTTGAAGATTGTATTTGTTCAAAAATACATCTCACGAGTTTTGTTATTTGTTGAATTTATTTTGATGTTAACCTTGGATAAGACCAAAAGGTCTTGATGTTTTGATGAAATAAATGAAATGATTGAGACTAAAATTCTAGTGCAATGTCTAAATTTATGTGTTGATGTTATTAAAGAAATCTTTGATATAAAAGTTTTGAAAACCCGTGTTACAGAGCAAGATATTTGATTAAGATGTTTTCATGAAGATGTGACACCTTCGTTGGTGCTTTGTGTTACTTTATTTATTAATTTATTCGTGAATTAATCTCGGGGTTTAAAAGCATATTACAACATGCTAATGCAATTAGACAAAGTGGTACTTATGCTTCAAGGCAATTGAAAGTTCATGATAGAAACTATCGTACTCATGATTTAGAGTTGACTGCAGTTGTGTTTGTGTTAAAAATTTGGAGGCATTATCTTTATGGTTCCAGATTTGAAGTGTTTAGTGACCAACATAGTTTGAAGCATCTATTTGATCAGAAGGAGTTGAATATGAGGCAACGAAGATGGTTGGAATTTCTTAAACTATATGACTTTGGCTTAAATTATCACTCTGGTAAAGTTAATGTTGTGGCTGATGCTTTAAGTCGGAAGTCTTTGCATATGTCTGCATTGATGGTTTGAGAGCTGAAACTTATTGAAAAATTCAGAGATTTGAGTTTTGTATGTGACATAACACAACAAAGTGTGATGTTGGGTATTCTGAAAGTGAATAATGACTTTCTTATTAGTATAAAAGAGGGTCATAAGTTGGATGTGAAATTGGTGGATCTAATCGTCGCGGGTAATCAAAATGAAGAAAGTGATTTTAGAGTAGATGAGCATGGTGCGGTGAGATTTCGAGGTAGAATTCGTATACCCGATAACCCTGAGCTGAAGAAGATGATCTTAGAAGAGATCATAAGAGTAGCTTGGTATCCATCCAAGAGCTACTAAGATGTATCCGAATTTGAAGAAGATATTTTGGTGGCCGAAATTGAAGCGTGATGTGATACAATTTGTGTATGCTTATTTTACTTGTCATTGTGCCTTTAAAAACTATAATCTCTTCTTAACAACAAGAAAACAATAAACCTTATGTTGGACGAAGACTAATGTTTCAAAACACTAGCCATATGTTGGACGAAGACAAAATTTTCGACACTAGTGAAACATTGTTTCTCACGAGGAATCGAATTCGGTATTCCCCAAATGTCTTCCTTTGCAGGAGCTCATTTACCACTGAATCCTAATTACCTTGTTATCTTGATGTTTTTCCATTAGACATATGTTGGTTTTTTCCTCATCATCTGACTATTTTGTATCTTTGTCTCCCCATTCAATATATGCTTCCTTTTTCTTTTGATTCTTTGTTGGTCTTTGATTTTCTCTTTTAGTAGATGACAGTTTGGCCTGATGTTTCCTTTATTTCCACTGTTGTAGCAGGTTGGGATGAATGTTTTTTCTTCTTCTTCTTCTTCTTCTTCTTCTTCCTTTTTCTCGTTCTTCATAAATCTTTTATAATTTTTCACTATGAATGATATGTCATTCTCTGAGATATCTTCTCCTATTTTGTGTGCTAGACTTTTGGTTTTCTTGCTTCCATGTTCATCCATGGCCAATCACTTTAGCTTCATCTCATGTTCCTGTAATTTTCCAAATAAAGTGTGTGTGTCCATAGTCTGAAAATTCTTTGATTCACAAATCATAGTGAATTTTGGTTTCCAATCATGATTCAAGCTTCTTAGAATTTTTACGACAAGTTCTTCTTTTGAGAATTACTTCCCTAGAGACCTCATATGACTTGCGATATGAGTAAATCGTGGTTGCATTTGATTTATGTTCTCTTTAGGTTTTATTTTGAAAAGTTCATACTCATGGATTAATGTTGCACCAAACCTTGTCCTCTTCACCTCAATAGTACTTTCATGGGTGATTTGGAGGATGTTCGACATTTCTTTAGCAGTTTTGCAGTGAGAAACTCACAATAATTCATCGAGACATATTGTGGTAGTGATGATATTCTTAGCTTTCAAACCACGTCGCACATTCGGTTTATCTTCTTTGGGCCAACCCTTTTCAGATATTTACTACAACACCATCAACTGTGTGTATAGTAACAAATGGTTCATCTTTCAAAGTTTTCCAAATAACGCGATTCATTTTCTCTTTCCACAACTCATACCCTTCTCCACTAAAGGATGGGGGTTTGTTTAGTGAATAACTTGAACTCATCCTTCTTCTTAAGACGATTAACCCTTAACATGAGTTAGACTCTGATGCCACTTGTTGAAAAAGTGACCTCAAGTACAAGAAGGGGGTGGGTTGTGGTTTTTTGAAAAGTGTGGATAATTTTTCCCTTTCACGATTAAGATCGTGTTAGTAATGTTTTTTTAGTAGTAAAGCGTAGCGAAAGTAAATAAATTATGATGCAGAAATTCAAAGAGAATAAGAATAAAAATATTATACCGGAGAGTCATCCAAGTTTGACCAAACGTTAGCCTAATAAAAGGTGTAGTTAAAACCATATAAAAGAAGAAGAAAAAACCATAAAAAATGTGATCTTTTAGCCCATAGAAAAAAACAATGATCTTTTTGTCCTAAGAAGCACTGAAATAAATTCCATAAGAAAAAGAAAACAAGAACTTATTATATTGATACAAGAGAAGTAATTCTCCACACTTTTAACATAATACAAAAACACATGAAAAATACAATGAGTCTTATTTAATATTTAAAGGCTAATGCATATAGAGCTTATAGTCTTTGATAGATGACCCATATCACGAAACATTTATTACTGACTAGATATAGCCAGTTAGTCATCATTTGGCGAGGAGCTCTTCCAAGACATGCTCTGCTTGGAAAGGTTCATCCCCATTATTGGAGTCATTAGCGTTCCAGAAAAAAACACCGGGTAGAGATGAGGTTTGTTTGAGTTTTGTGCAGCCACCAAGGAATATATCCCGTGTAATTTTAGTATTCATGTTGTCATCCGGGTCGGTGCTAAATCCTGGAAGGACTTTATGAGGATGGTAGTCTTTTACTAAACTTTTATAGATGTCTACAAAAGCATCATATGTGGATACAGGATTTAGTTGATTGCTGAACTGATAATCAACCCAATTGATATCGTCTCTCGTTGCATTATACAATTTATGGTAGGAGGATGCGTTGTTTTCAGATGGAGCAATGGACACCACATGGATGTTTAGGTCACGTTCTTTCTTGAGTTCTCTTATAAGTTGGCCTATCAACCTAGGAAACGCCTCATCCGATTTGATGTTCCCATAATTAATGTCAATGCCATCAATCAAGTTGCCGCTTTCATTTTTGTATTTTTGAATGATCAGTTTGAGTGACCTTACAGCGTTCGAAACCCATACAATTTGCTCAGCTGGATCGAATGGAGTTTCAAGCCCATGACCTCCAATGCTTATTACCACCTTTACTTCTGGATGTTTTCTTTTCAAAATTTTCACTTTATCTGGACCGAAGAACTCATCCTTCCAAGATTCCACGAAATTTCCCGAACCTTTTCTGCTTTCGCTATAGTTTTCAGTGGCAAAGCCCAAAATGAAGTGGAATTCTGTGGTTTCTTTTTGGGTGATTTGTGGAAAATCAGCCAAAGTTTCTGACTCTGGCTTCACACCAATGTATTCTCGAAAGACAGGTTTAGACATTTTGACAATGTGAAAGGAGGATGAGATAAATTGGCTTTTGTGGGTTTGGTGGAATAAAATCACCAACTCTTGTTTACATTTATAGGACTACGGATTCAATTAATTAATGCAAATCTCAATTCATTAGTATAAAGTATTATAATTTTTTTGGGATTCGATGGTATTTTGCATTCGGTGGATTTCGCTTTTACATGCAGTTTATTATCACGATTCTGTGGATTTGGCTTGTATGTATACATGTTAATTGGTGGATTTGGGTTTTACACCTATAGTATGATCACGTGGTTTTGCCTTGTATATACATGTTATTATCTTTTTTTATAAATTTATAATTAAAAAAATGTCCCTTGCTGGAATCGTAAAGAGGTCCCTTGTTTTAAACAAAAGAAAAAAATTCATTATGCAGTGAAAGTAATATTTTTTTCATTCCAAATACTACTACAAAAATGATCTTTTACTATTGTTGGAAAAGGAATATCATCAATCCAAAATTTTACCCTTAAGATACCATCTCATTTACATTATTACAAGATCACAAACTTTGTTGTATCCTAATCATTTCTCTAAGTCTTTCCTTGAGGAGATAATCAAACACCCTCTTGTGTATCTTTTGATTTGTGTTTAAATATCTTTATGCTTTACTAACCTTAACAAAAAAAATTATGCTTTGTTCCTCTCATTTATTTTACAAGGTATGGATTGGATCAAGAACATCAAACATGATTTCATCAGCTGGGATTTTGGTTGCTTAAGCTCCAAGATTGATCAATCATTAATTTCCAAAGGCTCATTCCTCAATAAATGATCTATAATCTTAGGCATGATCATTTTAAGCTTTATCTATTATCATTTGATCAAAGATAGTTCATTGTTTGGTTGCTTGTTTCTCAAGAAACTTCTAGGTTCATATGTTTATTTATATGCCTTCTTCATCAAGCTTCCTTAAGCATTTGATCAATTCATTCAAAGTTCAAGCAAGGGATTATCCTTTGAGGCTCATATGTGCATCATTGTTCCTTTAAATGCAAGAAGAGTCCAAAGAATCAAGATGTTTCAAAGTGGTTTGACCTAAAAAGTCAATAAAGTTCACGTTGAAAATATCACAACTCACTCATTTTTCAACAACTTTGAGTGATTCTTTTTTGTATTTGACTCGTCTTATCATCCTCTACAACTTGTCTTCACAAGTCAAAAGTCAATTATGCTTGGAAGATCATCAAAAGTTTGGGAACATTAGAGGTCACAATTTTCAAAGAACACAACTCTATCAACTTTCAACTTTTCTAGTTGTCTCTTTTTTATACTTATCATTTGTGACGCCCTCTACAAGTTTGTTTCAAGGATCAAAGGCCAATTATGCTTGGAAAGTCATGAAAAGTTAGATGACATTATATGTCATTTTGGACTTAGAAAATTTTTGACTTGTAATTTCAGGTCATTATACCAACTTCACATTGTTATAAATTTTTTCTCAAGCATCAAAATCAATAATTTATTTTCATATTGTACTCTCCATGATGATGTGAACATTTTTCAAAAAGAATGAGCAATAAAGGTCAGGTACATAGGATTTCATGCAAGCTTGAACAAGGGTGCACAAAACTGATTTTTCTCTTATGGTCAGATTTTAGAATCAACAAAAAACTCAATTAGAGGCCAAATTGTCACGCATTTTCCATTTAAATATGATTAGTGATGTCTGATGAAGCAAAAAAAAAATTCATGCTTTGGATGCATATGGAATCACACGAATTTGGTATCATTTGGCACGCACAAGCTTTGCATCACACTCCCTATAAATAGAGAAATGTATTGGCTTCATTTCAAAGCTTTGATAGCCTCTAAAATCCTTGTCCAACCTCAAATATTCTGCAAAAAGTGTGGGATCATGAATTATTCTCAGAGCTTTTCAACACACTCTCTTGATTTCTCTTGCTTCCTTGCCATGACCTGAAGCTAACGCGATAATTATCAAGTCTTAAGAGCGTCTGAATCACTCAGACCACATCACTCTTTCAAGCTTTCCGTTCAAACTTCTTTCAGTTAGTTGGAAGCACCATTTTGACCCAAATAAATTATTGTGATGTTGTTTGATGTTCATTGATACTCATCTTCAATTCAGTTTTCATTCATTTATCATTTTCACTATTTAATTTGAATTTTAGTTTTCTAAAAATGGATCGTGTTTTCAAAATTACTCTCAGCTCATTTTGAATAACTTTATATAGAGGTATTGATTGGGTTCACAATGATGAGACGATCACAATGGTGGTAGTCTCATTTTCTCATGTTACCAAATGATGAATCTGAGTTTGTTTTGGAACCTGGCCAATCACACATTGTCAATTGTTTTAATTTGAGTGGTTGGATTTAAATGAGTTCTGATGCTTTTATTTCAATAATTTCTACCATGTACCTTAGCTTCTGGACCATGAGATCTTCCATGTCAATTAATGAAACCAGATCCAACGTATCTGGATTTTTCTGATTTAATTTCTTTTATTATTTTCTTGTTTATTTTGATTTTTAATTCCGAAAATGATTTTAAATCATATTTAACTTCAACAATTCTGAAAAAATTCTTAAAAACATTTATCTCAGTTTACACCTTTTATTTTTTCTTTTTTTGTTGAATTTTCACCTATTTGCTTTGTTTTAATTAGTTTAAAAATAGTTTCTTGATTTTTAAAATATCCAAAAATATTCTAAAAAATACTTTGAATCATTTCTAATTTTTGTTTGGCTTTATTTTTCATTTATTTGACGGTTTGATATTAATTTTCTATTTTATTTTTTACTTTCCATTTAAAATCATTTAAAAAATATTTTTCCATGCATTTTAATTGCTTTTATTGTATTTTTCATTTATTTGAATTGTGTTGACTTGTGTTGGCCTTGGATCTTGGCTCATTGGATCATAAGTTTCATCAACATCAATGGATCTTGGATATTGATGGGGTGAAAACCCTATTCTACTAAAATTGATGATTGATTTTGATGATAAATTGATTAATGCCTTGATACAATTTGGGCTTTGCTTTTCATCTTCATCTTTCTTCTTCTTTTTCTTTTTGATCAATTGGATGGTTTAGGATCTATCTTGTTCATGAAATTTGGATTGGTGCTTGATGAACTCTCATCATTTCAAATTTACCTTCTAATTGATCATTGATCATTCGAGGTACTTTGGATTGGTGATAAGTTTTTCACAAGTTATCATGAATAATTATTGATGTAATGGACCAATATCCTTGACTTATCTCTTGATCACCTTTCCTTTTAAACCATGGCGTGCATTCAATGCAATACACCTACATTATTTTGGTCCGGCCTTAGATAGGTTCAACTTATATATAATTTACTTACAATTGCTTAACATAGTGCTAAATTATCCCGAATCAGAATGCTAATTATTAACACTAATGATCCATAATTGTCTTAACTTTAATTTCTTGTCTTTTATCTTAATGCCTTTTAAGTTGTGAATGTTTTACCATGTGTCATAGTGTATTTTTATTTTTGTTTTGGATATGTGGATGGTGTAGATTTAACACATCATTATTACGTAAAATTTTCATTTTATCAACTTTGATTTTTAATTGGTTTTTATTGTTTTATATATTTGTCCTGATTTTAATTTCAGTAATTACAAGAATTACCAAAGGCTTTGCCCTGGTAAAGTTACACACGTCTTATTCGTGGGTAGAGTAATGCTATGATTATCAACGATTTATTCACGGCTTGGCTGATGATAATACAGTGGGCTTCAAAAGCCGTCAGTACACTTTACCAAGGAGGTTTTTACCGAGGGTCCCATTACCGTCGGTAAATCCTAGATAATATACCTTTATCCACTACTTTTTTTAATTACAGAGGACTTTCGTTCCTGGGTAATGACAATTTCTCTTGTAGTGGATGATGTTCTGAATTAAATGATGTTTGTTAGTGATTGTTAATCTGATGATATAATGAAGTTGTGAATGAATTAATGATATGAAAGTGTGAGCATAATATGTGATGTCTGATGATATATGAATTTCCTGATAATTGTTGTTATAACAACTATATCTATTTATTATACCTTTTGTAATGATTTGTGATTACTCACCATTTCTGTTTGAATGTTGCCTCCACGTGGGTAACGCACATGTAATCGTGAATAGCTCGTAGAACCGTGAGGATAGCT